TAAAACATTTATATGCTGTAATTATTTCATTTTGTCAAGCATAGTTCGTTCACTAATTTTATTTTTATATTTCGTAAACTGTCAGAAACAAACTTCTACAATGTTCTTTACTTTATAGTAAGAAGAAAAAAAAGAAGTCTTTAAGAATCATAAAATTCGTCTTTATTTGGCTTGTTTTATGGATTGGTCCAAGTTTTGGATCAGTGACCGTCCAGAAACTGTGTGAAGAGACGTCAATAACCGGAATAGTTGCGTCTTTAGCCAAATAAAACCTGAAAACCAGAGGTAAAAGTTTTGAGAAAGTTTATCTAGAGGTGTAAATATCTTATATAAAGGTGTAAATACTTTTCATTAATTAATTTAGAATTAAGTTAATTTATCAGCTTTTTTCGTCATCTTGTGTAGGGCAATTTTTCAGAGAAATCATCTGGTCCAAATTATTAATGTTGTTGTTGAATGATGGTATTGTTAAATATGAAAGATGTATTGTAAGAAACGTGCATTGTTTTTCACATTACCTGTTGAATAATAATATTGTTTAATATAAGGAATTTTACAGTCCAATATTTAAAGTTATTTGGTTAACTTGTTGGTTTGTTTGTAGTAAAGCACAAAACTACACAACTGTTCTGTACCCACCGAGAGTATCGAAACCCGGATTGAAGGGTTGTATGTCCCCAGACACACATCTGAATTAATGTCTGTGCTGTGTGGGGAGGGAGGGGGACTTTGGTTAGCATAACACTAAATATGTGTTCCTTATTTTGGTTCTTTCTCTCGTCTTATCAGACAAACGAAGTTCGTATTTACAGTTTAAAATGAAACGTTATTACTATAAATTTATAAAATTATTACTTAGTTTAAAATATAAAAAAATAGATAAAATATAAATAAAATTATTTACACGATAAACGATTAACAGATAGATAATATATATTTTAATTTTAGTCTATGTATTTAAATATATAAAGGGTGGAGCAGAAGAAATTACAAAATTATTTATTTTAGAAATATTATAATATATAACATTTTACTCTGAAATAAACAACAATTAAATTGGTTTCCACTGTCTTTGTAACATTTTCTATGGGCCAAGCTGTATGATACCAACTATACTAACCGTATAGTACACATTGTACTAACTGTACATTAATATACGAATCTATAACTACAACATAAAATTCGTGTTGAACTATATATACTGATACACATATCAACTAGAGGAATAATTATTATTGAATAAAGAAACAACAGAACTATAAACTATGTCACACTTGTCTTCAAAGTTTCAACCAAATACCAAATTTATATATATCAGTATCTCTGGATAACAAATCAACTAACAAGTTCTTTGTCCATATATTTATATATGTTGAACCACCTCAGTTCAATAGCGTGAAGATTATATCTTTATATTTTTGAAAATCTAATCCATCAGGAATCGGACAGCATATGTCCACTTTTATCTCCTGGACCAATCGATTGTGCTGATGTTCTGCTTAATGGACACACTACCAGTGGATCGTATCGTATCTGGCCCAAGTCATGGATGACTACAGGAAGTTTCTATGTTTACTGTGACATGGATACTGATGGAGGAGGCTGGACGGTAAGTAACGTTTATTATAGATAATATAATATAAAACTATTAGATGTAAAAAGATATATAGTAAGTTTAATTATAATAGTAAACTTACAAGTTCTTCATTTTCTCTATCTAAGGTAATCCAAAGAAGAGGAAACCATGGAAACCCAAAGGATTACTTTTTCAGACCATGGGCAGATTACAAAGTAGGATTTGGAGACATTCAGAAAGAATTCTGGTTAGGTAAGTTCTGATTAGGGTTTTAACAGATGTTGTTCAACATACAGAAGGCCTGTATAGGCAGGTGCTGTTTAAATTTTTCAAACCAGATAGTATTAAAGATACAGAAAGTCTGTATAGGTAGGTTCTGTTTTCAGTTTTTAAATAGGTGGTGTTAAAGATACAGAAGACCTGTATAGGTAGGTTCTGTTTTCAGTTTTTAACTAGGTGGTGTTAAATATACAGAGTGTTTGTACAGGTAGAATGGATTCTTTTTCGACAAGTACTCTTACCTAATAACAAGAAATATTGTACTTTTGTACTTGTAATATAGATTCTTTCATTACCAATTCAAGCCACTCCAAACTATATTTTCTAAAAGTGATTTCCTCATCATCAAACTAGGATAAACAATATAAGGATAATAATGGCTGGAGACGGCTTAAATGGGTAATGAAGAAAAACTTTAATATAAGTTTAACATGACAGCAAATGTACAACGTTTCGACAAGGGTTTGAATTGGTACCTGATGATGACAAAACCTTGTTGAA